TACCATGTTAAAGGTACACAGTGTGTGTTTGCAACACCAAATTAGCAATTTGGGCTAATTTGCACAAGAAATTACAGAATGTCTGGGAAAATGTGTAAAATAAACTTAATTCAAAGCTGTAGGTGTGTCCTAGTCTCTGTCAGTTTCCTGGTGTACGGAAATCAAAACAGATTTATTTTACTTTCAAGGCATGTTTTCTTGCCTTTCTGATTTCGAGGACTATTCCACAACAGACTCGTAGCATTACTCTAAAGTGACATTGTAAATTTAGCATGCAGTATAACATTTCTAGTTTCATTTAATTTGATACAAATAATATTTAAATTTTTAACTGGAGATAACACAAATGCAAATATATATATATATATATATATATATATATATATATATATATATTTACTGTGCATGCTTTCAATGCCTGCCAACCTTTAAACAAGCTCTCATTTTGCCTTTACTATCGCTCAGATGCTCAACCTGATCATTATTTATTAAGGTAACTTTCTGTTTGCCTAATACTGGCCTGATGTTTGGTTTGCCACCTGCTGTGAAAAGCAGGAATTGCATCATCATTACAGTAATGTTTAAAAATGATTTCTTGGTTAATGTCAAGTTGTCATAACAAAAACATTTTGAATAATGTCAACTTTGTATTAAAAGTGTCATAATTTACCGAATGACGCTTTATGACAACAGTCATAAATATTCATGAAGGCTTATTCATGTTCATGACAGGTGTTATGTCATGTTTATGACGGTGTGATGTCAGTCTTATTCACCCCCTTCAAATAAAGTGTTACCACTTATTTTTCAAAGTAGGGCACTGGGCTTTAAAACAATAACTATACCACACAGCAGGTTTCTTTATAATTCTGTTTTCTTTTTATGTATTTAGATTTTTACTCATTTATTGTCTAATTTAGGTTTTTATACTCTTGATCATGATTCGGGCCCCCTAATGTTTTATTTCAAGCAATCAGGTAAAGTTCAAGTGGACGTAGAGTCTTTCCTCCCAAAATTTCTTACAGCTGAGATGTCAAAAAAACAAAACAAAAAAAAAAAAACGACTGAACCAAGCCAGTTGGCCCCTGGGTTTGGCTGTCGACTCTCCCAGCTTTTTCTCACTATCCTTCTTTTTTTTTTAGTTCTTTGATATCAAGTCTGAGATCGTATGTAAGAGGTTTGGAAGCACAAGTCAACTGAACTTGAGAATTGCAGTCAGACAGACACTGCAATGAGTGATTGCAGAGAATGAGTTGTTACATTATTCACGGCGTAAAAGAGATGGATGAAGACGGATGGCGAACGGACAAAAAAAGAGCTGGAAGATGACGGGACAAGAGACGCCCTGCATTCCAGCAGGTCTGGAGTCTCCGTCTGACTCCTGGTGACGGCTTTCCCAGCCCCGCTGCCGGACAACTCACGCCCAGCGGTAACGGCGTTCGAGCAAGGCCGACTGAGAAAGCACACTCATTAATTCAAAGGGTGCAAAAACAAACAGACCCCTTCCTTTAGAAAACCAGCGCAGTTGGATTAAAACAGGACACTGATGTGAGTCTTTGAGTTTTCAAGTACGCCCCCTTTCCTCCACCCCCCCACCCGCCTTCAGTGAGACAAAGTGAATATTGTATTGGACAGAATGTGTGTGTTTAAGACCGTGTGTGAGCTAAAAAAAAGTAGACACAGACACTGTTTGAATGAACAAAAAGAGGAAAAAAATAGAAGTGAAACTGAAAGATGCATTATTACAATAAGATGATCAAATATCTCATGAAATGCATAGAGAGGCCCGGTTAGGTGCATGAGATATAAAATCTATGTATTTATATTGAAATTGTGTGTTAAAAGATATTTACCATCTTTATGGGAAGACAGAAAAAAATGTAATGTAAACAGACCTGCAAACTAACATTTTTTTAAATCAGAAAAGTCAGCTTTACTAAAACTGAAGGTGTCAGAAGTGTAGTTAATCACAACAAAGGAGAGACACAAAGCACACGCACTCATACGGTTAAGTGGGGAAAACACTCGTCTTCCTGTTTCAACTTCAACCCACTAATTGATTGAAATGAGATAATGATACCTTTTCCTTCCACTAAATTACTTCCACATCCTCCTGGCAGCCCAAACACCCCGAGTGCTTAAAACTGAGTGCGAGGCAACGGGTTGAACACACAGTCAAACATATGCAAAACAAAGGTTTGAAAACAAGAAAAAGGCATTCATAAAACAGACGAGGAATACTGGAAGACAGGAGGAGATTTATGCATAAAGGCTACAAAAGAAGAAGAGAGCTATCGCTAGAGGGAATAATGCATGGGAGGGCAAAGTGAGAGGTCAAAGTAAAGGTCAATGAGACAGGAAGCAAAGAGCTGTGTGGTCACTAATGAGAATCTTCAACGCAAGAGCTCTTCCCACACTCCTTAAGGGCCAAGTGTCTCTTTCACATGTAAGGATGTTAGAAGTTACACATGAAGTCGTTTAATTCATTAAAAAGCCATGTTAGTGTGAAGGGGATTTGTGTTTGTGAACGCAGTGCCTCAAAGTGCTGGCAAAGAGGTTTGAACTTATTGTGCATTAACTGGACCTGGTTGCTTAAGATAAAAAATCTCACTAGAGCTTCTATTAATAAAAATGTTGTCCATATTTCAGTCCTGAGTAGGCAATCTTTAGTTGGAATTAAAAATAAAAAAAATCACATTTCATTTTTTAAAAATGCAACTATTTTTCATATGTCTGATTTCGGTCAGTCGTAGCTTGTCCGGGTGGGGTAACCACTGGAAGCTGGATGTTAAGTGCCCCAAGATAAACAGCTGGTGGCGCCAGTCAGTAACCACACCACAAAAAGTAGGCGCGATGAGGTTAGATCGTTTAACAAGCGAGCAGCAGTGAAAGCCCAAGCAGTGGAAATTACTTTGATTTGGTGATGAAAATGTCATGTTTATGAATTGCATAAACAGAAATGATTGGTATCTATTTCCAGTGATTGTTACAGTCTGAATGTCAAGAGTTATTAGTGCAGTTATGCATTATACAGTGTTAAAAATGGTTTATTTTACACTGTTACATCTTTTAACTTCAGTCTACAGAACTTCAGACCAGTTCTTCAGTACACTGAAAACGTATAAAACAACTACAAACATGTTGAATGAACCATAACAAATAAGCACTGATAGACTTAATACCAACAAAGGTCATGAACAAAAGCTCATACTCACCCATTCTCCAACTTAGCCTTTGAGGATATCAACATATTTTTTCAAACTCAATTGTATTTCCATATCAAAGATTTCCTCTGATGTCAATTTATACAAATACTGAGTCCAGGATTTTGCAAAGGCCAAAGCAGATAGAATTTACCAAGACACTATTGTAACTTTTAAATGAGCAATTGTTGTTTTATTCGCAAAAATCCAAGTTACCTTCCTATTCTTAATTCTTCTATTCATTCCTTGCCAACCCACAGAGCTGTGTTTATTTGCAGTGTGGGAAGACCAATAAGCTCAGATGGTGGCTTTTCTACTGAAAATTGAACAGGAGGAAATCCTGCGAGATATCTTGGGCCAATGATAATTGCAGAACTGCTTCGGGTGAAACTGGATGAAACAATGAACCAGACTTGGCAACAACAGTCAACAGTACTTACGCACTCTTAAACTGGCTCATTATCTATGAATGAGTCATGAACAACAACTGTGTCAGATTAGAGGGAAGGAAACAATGTAAACTGTCCAAAAACAGACTGCATCTATAGCCAAGACATTAAGAATAAGGCTTATATTATATGGGTCGAACAATGGCTTGAAATCATCTAGGAAAAGTCCAGACTGAGCAATTTTCTGCATTAAAGCAAGATGGCATTTTATAGGCTTTCATAAAAGGTATTAAGGTATTAAAATGTGTTTACTTATTATAAAGATAACCAATATGAAATAGATATTGGTACTATATGGTCAATATGCCTGTATTTCAAGACATCCATTGACCCAACTTTAATCCCCAAGAACATCAGATGTACCAGCTGACATTAAACATAAGCTTCACCTGTCCTGGTGTATGTTTGCATTGTTGCAGTGACTATGTAAAATCACCACATTAAGGTCAATGGAAATCATAAATAATATGCTTCTAGAAATAACCGTTTGTTTATAAGTAAGTTTCAAGGAAAGTGAATACAAACAAACTTTAGTTTGATGGATAAAAACCTCAATGTTGATCTTTTGTTATGAGTCTATAGCGGTCTGCATGTGTACAAGAAAGTGGATAGGACACCAAAACTGGCTGCAGCCAAAGGCCCCCATCCTCCTATATACCGCCCTTGTTAGAATATATTTTAAAAAATGTACTTATTCAGCAACATTTCCAAGCTTCTTCTTTTTAGTTTATTTAGTTGATAAAGTACACTTTTAAAATCGCTTCACCTTTAACAAATGCATGCACGCGTTTATTCGCTGTTGCGCAAACATACTTTCTTCTCATAAATACCAAATAAAATCTAGCCAGAGCAGTTTTACTGCTGAAATTATAACAGTCAGTTTTGCCCGTGAATGAACTGTGAGCATTACGGTCAGTGCTTCTCCTCTCAGAGCACTTTAAATGTCAGTAAAGTTACTTGCTTCCGAATTCCGACGCGGTTGCCGTTCCTAATAAACTCCTTTAATAAGATGGTCGCACCCCGGTGGCTCTCACCGCAGAGAGGTGAAGCTCCGCCAAAAGACCCTCCTCTACCTGCGCTGCAGAGCATGTGCTCCTCCTAACGCACGTAAACCTCCGAAACAGTAGCCAAATGAGCGACCCGGATTAAACGCTTCCAGCTTGAACCACCACAAGGAGAGTAGAAAAAGAAAGAAAGAAATAAAAAAAAAAAACGAAAACAAGAGCAGGACATTTACAGAAAAATATTCCTTGTCTGATGGACAGTTCTACCAATTAGTGTCACCTGCAGGAAAGTGCGCAAACAAGCCACGATAAAGAGCGTCTCTGTAAGAATGGAAAAGCTTTACCTTTATAGGAGAGTCTCAGGCGCGGCACGTTTATTTTGGTCGCGCAGATGCTGGTGACAAGGAGCGCAACCACAACTTTGTTGAAGACGAAAGGTGTAAATCCCATTATTGCTAACAGATGCGCCTCTCCTTCTCACTGAGATTTTCTTAGACTAAACGTCAAAAGTCCGAGGGGAATTTCAGCTTGACCCTTCTTCTCATCAAGGTGTTTGATCTAGAGGGTGCGTTAATTCCCGGAGCGTCCAACCACAGACGCACGCTGTCCTCTGTGTGGAGTGACTGCCGCTCGCCAGATCTGCCGAGCAGATTCACTGACTCTGCTCTGAATGCTTCCGCAGCTCAGTTCCCACAGCAGCCCATCGGCAGCCTCTTCCACGCCTTTTCAGTAGAAAGAGAGAGGAAGAGAGAGAGGGAGAGGGAGCGTGTGTTGAACTCTCGCTCATCCTTTAACACACAGCGCAGTTCCGCCCTGGGGTATTAGTTCATACTAAATAGGCGAAAGGTGACTCACTTTGAAAAAATTATTTAGAAAAACATATTTCACTGATTTTAAAAAAAAGTATGTTTTATTTTTTGGCTCTATCTGATAGTGAATTGACATGAAAGAGGATAATGAGAGAAGGGGAAGATATGCATCAAGGGTCACCAGGCCGGGAATCGAACCTGCGACGGCCGCGTTGAGGACCTAGGACTCCACATGTGGGTTGTGCTTAACCCCTCCACAGTTTACTGATTTAATAGCTTCCCCTCTCATTGATGCCAACTGCAAATTTTGGTTTCACTTTGACATTTTTTTTACTAGTTTCAAGGAAGACATTTGTCTGCTCATAGCAAATTAATTAGCCATCTGATGCTATCTGATAAATGAATGTAGAGCTTTTGTTGTAGCATTAATTACCTTAATTACCTTAAAAATTTGCAGCCATGTTCTAACAAAGAGCTTTAGAGGTAATATTAATTTCATTTTCTTTCTATCACCTTGCCTTGTCTGGTAACCTTGGGTCATCGTCCAGCCTTGTTTGTTTCTTTTCCAGTTATTTTACACTTTTATATAAAAATCTAGACTCCTGAAATGCACTCAAATTATTGGTTGGATATTGTTATTACATGTTCTTAATAGATCTGCCAATGAACATAAAAGGGGGCTTTTTTTGGTAGAATAGAATAAAAATAGAAATACACAATTATAGTCATTGGATGTTCATATGAAACTTCTAGACTTTTACTTTACTTTTCAGTGTGGAGACAAAATTAAATGCCATTGAGTTTACAGCAAAAAATCACAACTTGTCAATTGTTGCATGATGGTGAAGGCTGGGACATGAAGGGTCCAGATGAAGTGAACTAGAGTGATGTGAAGCGAACGGGGCTCATATTATGTGAACGAGGGAAGTCCTACCTTCTGGCTTAGCTCGGGTAATAAACCCATAAATTCATGAAATTCATGAGCTGTGCTTGAACAAAAAAGACAAAAAAACATCCATCTCGACATTTCTCTCTCCTCCAAAACCTCTGCGCAAGTGACCTTCTTTGACCCCTTCCTAGCCATTGTCACCATCCCAGGGGTTTAATTAAGTTGTGCCATACCTTTTAAACACTCCCCCCCTCTCATACACGCATCCCATTCACATGCAAGTCTATAAGTGCACACAGGGGTCACGGCAGAATGAGACCGAGCCATTCAAGGTATCAATGCTGCTGTGGCCCTGCTTCTTCTGGGAGCACTTGTTTGCAGCAGGAAAGAAACTCCCATACGTGGTTTATACGGGCCGAAAGGCCAAGGGTGGGAAACGAGACGGGTGTAACGATTTGCTGGGAACCCTGGGGGCTTCGAGTAACAAAGTGCTCTGCGCTTTTCTGAGTTGTTGGTTGCTGATGTGAGCTGTTATCATTTTTGAGAACTTGCCATGAAATAGCGGACCTCTAGAGCCACAGAAAAGTAAGTTGTAGTTTCGAGGCAGCATCCAGCAGGGCAACAAGATATCGGATGTCTTCTTAAAGGAGACCTTCCAAAACCTCTTGATGTAAATATTTATGTATCACTGAAGAAAATAGCTTCCTCCGGTCAAAAGAGACCACAAGTCTACTTGATAGTGGGTAGTAGTGCTTTACCCACTGAAGTGATCTTTTTCTCCTTGAAGATAAGATTGTATTTCATCTAAACACCGTGCTTGTTGATGGATAAAAGATGTTGTTTCCTGCCAATTTCATCTTTTTTTTTTTTTTTTTGCATCTTTTGTGGAAAGACATGTTTGAAGGATTTTTTTTTTTCCATTTGAAATTCTTTGGTTTTAGGTTGCCAGAAACTCTTAAACACGATCTGTTCTGTCTTCTCTGGTTTCGGCCCATGAAGCGATATAGCTGATACAGAGCAAAACGAGACACAACTGAGAGGAAAGCCACTGTCTTGGAATAATAAACCCATATGCAAGATCGAAGAGGTATCAAGTGATGGAAGTTCATACTTTTCACCTCTGATATTGCGAAAAAAAATGTTTAGAAGAAGTAGACATCATGTGTCTTTATAAAAGAAACACATTTCACTGCAATAGCAGCTTTAAGTCGTTTCAGGTATGTGTCTAGAGAATGAAATGCATGCCCTTTCCTCTCGACAAAGTTCCTCTGATTGGATAAAGATTTTCTATAAACACTTATTTTTTTACTGCTTTCTCAGCTGGTTTCATATCTACATGTTGAGAAAGACATCTTCAGCACTAACGGTTTTGTTTCAAGGCCATAATTTAGCAGATCTGCAGTAGCGTCATGTCGCTTTACGTTTTTTGTCATGATGGATTTTATAATGCTATGTGAAAAGTTCAGAGGATGCTAAAAACAAGCTTTGTTGAAAACCAGATATGATTTTTTTCTCCTACTTGAGAATTGTGCACCACTTTGTGTCAGCTCTTCAATTAAGCTCTAGTAAAAATAAACTGAAGTCTTGTTAAAAGAGTGAAAGTGTATGAATACCTTTGCCAGACACCATCTACTAGAAGCATTTACCGAGGTACTTTTTGGCTGATGCCCTTTCTCTCGTTTCTCAGAAGCTTCTGACCGCACAAAACTTGTCTGTGGGACAAACAGACGTGGGAACCCAGCAGAAGAGGCCACAAATGGGGCAAGTGTTCAAGAGCTGAATAATTGATTGTAAAAGCAGCAGCGTTCGTGCCATCACAGTGAAGTGTTCCCTGCATTTAACAAAGGAACTGCTGACTTTAAACGACCTAAGATGATGGTTGCCTCTCCAACCACAACCAAGCTAGCTGGAGGAACATGAGCAGCCAGGATAATTAAGCAAAGTGAATTTACTTTGCTCTGACTTGCTCTTTACTTTCCTAACCCCGTATCTGACTTCCTCTGTGTCATTTCTAATCACTGACGGCACTCATGTGGTTTTCAAACCTGCGTGGTGCTTTCTCTTAAAAATCCCACAAAGGATCGTCTTGTGTCTCAGGCTCGGCTTCCAAGGCCTTGAACGACGTAATTCATACTGAAAGGTGCGCCAGACTTTTTAGGAAATGCACCGAGTGCCTGAAGGACTTTCTTTGCACCTCTCTAAATTCTTCCAGAATTAAATTATGCTCTCTAAGCTGTCAGTAGTCATGAAACGTGAAACTCTTTACAGCGTTTTGACGCGGTGTCATTCTGAAAGATCCAGCTGAAACATCTGGAGTGGTGATTGGGAATGGCAGCGTAGAGGTTCATGAATTCACAATGTGGGAGGTAGGGCAGAAATAATGAATGGAGAACAAATTTGAGCCACAACGCACCAAGACAGCTGGTTTGTTTGTGCAAGTGCCTCAGGATTCATAAATGTTTAAACATTCTTAGGACAGACAGGAAGAAAGCCGTGTACAGTAATAGAGTTTTCCTGCAGACAAAGCAGAACGAAGCGATTCAGGGAAGGCTTTGTCAGAAGATGAGAAAGGCGGGATACACCCTGGACAGGTGGCCGGTCCATTACAGGGCAGCACAGAGACACAAGGGTCAAATAACAATGCGCACACGCATACGCACACACACACACACACAACACACACACTAATACCTAAGGGCAATTAGAGAGACCAGTTAACCAAGCAGTCCGGTTTTTGGACTGTAGGAGGGAGTAAGTCAGATTTCAACGTTTTCTGTAAATGGTCCCAAGTAAATAAACACAAAATAAAAACAAGATATATTATGAATGTGTTATTTTTGCCCACTGAAGAAGAAACAAAACAGTGGTCGAAGGAACAACTGTTTAAATGTACTGCAGAAATATCCAGCTAGGAAACAAGAGCTGGGGAGTGGGAAAGATTGTATCGCCCGACTTCTCTCTACCTGATGAGAGAAAAGTGACCGCACACAGATAATGGAAACATTGGCTTTTATGTGACGCTAAATGAAAAGAAGCAAAAAATATTTTCATCTTGAAAGGTTTTGTTTAATTTGAATTATGTAAATTAAGAAATAATTTTAAAAACCTGTGCCTAAAAATCAAGATATAAGAGTTTTTCTAAAGACTCCTAATCCAATTAGTCAAATAAGTAGTCATGATTAGTTATCATGAAACAGAAATTGTAAAATTTCTTTTTACTGGTCACAGTACTTGTGTTTTAATTATCATCACCCAGTTAATACTGCTTCCTCTTTAACAGTCTGTGCAGCTTCATATGTTATATATTAGCAACAAGGTTTTACTGACTTCTACAGCTTATTCAGTGTATGGAAAGTTAGTTAAATGTCAACAAAGATTCACTGTGGTTAAAGTGGATTAATCTAAAAATTGCTAAATCAAGTTTAAAAAAAAGGCGATTTGCTGATGTCTTGAAAATATTGACCTTGTTTGCTGTGATTCTTCTCAGAAAGAGAGAAGTAAAGCAACAGCTCGCCTCATTCTGCAGCGCCATGAGACCGTGCCAACCTATTTAAAAAAAAAGGGTATTATTTGATTTTATCAAGGAAACTTTGACAAAGAACAAAAACACACATCAATGGATGAATCAGTGCAGTGAGCCAGGGGAGCTGGAAGCTGTCCCAGGCTGGCATTTGGCAAGAGCCGGGATACACCCAGAAAGGTTACAATCTGATATGCCGAGGCCCATTAGACCCCCACACGCACAACCGTAAATGAACCGCACACAAATGTTCCAGCCAGTTAGCATGATTATACCAGCAACATTCTTTCTCTGCTGCAACAAATTTCAGCCATGTCCGAAAGCTGCTGGACACAAATTGCCGAAGGAAAAACAAATTCTCCAGCGGTAACACAACATTTTTTTTATTGAACTTGCGGTTTCAGTTAGTTATTTTGGCACTGAAATATTAAAACGCATTCTTTACCACAGACATAAAGGTGCAGATTGCGTTTTTTATTATTATTATTTTAAT